TCCGCAGGCGCTTGTGTTTATACATTTTCCTCGTGTCTCTGGCCGAGGAACACACTTCCCCTGGTCAGTCTGATGTGAAAAAATAACAATGTCACTCTTGCAGCGTCTCCCTGAGCCTCCCCGTCTCGGTACAGCGGTCGCAGTCGAGCAGACAAAGGGCAATTCTGAGCTGCTTTTTTTTTTTCCTCCACTGTACCAGGCAGGGGGGAGTGTGGGAAATCGATGCTCTTACGTTGAAGAAGGCGAGTCCATTGTGGAGAGGATCCGCACGATCTCGGCTCGCTGGGTGGGTGATATATGCTGGGTCATGTGCACTATCGAATCCATGGCAACCTCCGGATTGGCCTGGACCAGGCTGGAAAGAGGCGAGAGTTAAGTGACGGCAGCCCCGGCGCTCGCACCGGAGCGCGTCCGACAGCTCCTCACCAGGCCCCGGGGGGAAGGACTGAGACGTGGGGGATGTCAGGGGAACTGGACGAGGCAGCAGGGACTGGTGTGAGCGACTGCGAGCAGCACAAGAGCTGCGCTCGCTTGGAGGCTCTCGTGCCACTCCCCGTGCTGGTGGCCGACCTCAGAGACGCACGGAAGCTGAAATTCCAAGAGGCCGGACCATGTGGACCCAGGGCAGACACGGGGAGGCCAAGAGCTCTGGAGTGTGTCCCAATCCCACCAGCAGCACCTTCAGAGGCTGCTGAGAGCACCCGCATCTCCCCCTCCCAGGTGCCACAGAGTCCTGTGCCACAGCACCGATGGAGGAGCTGGTGGAAACCATGGGAAGAGACCCTACGGCATCAAACACGGGACATGGAAACCAGAGGAGCTTCACTCTGCAGGGCAGGGCCCTCCCCCAGCACAAAGCTGCTTTAAGGGACCTCCAGTCTAAGACATAAAAATTCTCAGAATTAGATCTGTTCAAGTCCAGCAAAGCATTTGGCTCATGAAGCAAAACCGGCTCCACTGGGTCGGTGTCTGCGTGACACACGTAACTCTTACAAGCAGGAGGAAGAGGTTACCCATGGTGTAGTGTCTCGGGGGGTTACGTGGTGCAGTTCTAAACTGCAATGAAAAAGAACTGGGCATTTTGTGACACCGAGCACTGAAGAAACCAGGCAGCTTGCTTGGGAAGACTGGGACCAGGAAAAACAAAGGGAAGGAAGCTGGAAGGATATTCTGGCCACGTGTGATCCATGCGTGGCTTTGGCAGCAGTAGCCCAGCTCAGAGATTTGCTTTCCCTCCTTGTTTCCTGCAGTATGTGGCCCTCTAAAATAATTTTCCATTATCTGTCTCAAATGAAGAGACACATTAGCAGAGAAGTTTCTGTGCTCTGGCTCTTCACGGCTCCCGGGTAAGGGGTGGCCACGGGCCGGGAGCTCTGGGAACCGCTCAAGGCACCTGCACGTGCAGCAGCACTGCAGCCTGCGCAGGAGCAACATGAGATGCAGACTTGGTACAAATCCCTCTGGTTCACAGGAGCTCCACATTTCCCCCCTATTTGTGTTCCCAAAGCAAACAGCATTTCCACATTAAAAAAAAAAAGCCAGTTAATGTGAAATGTGTGTGGAACCAACAGCTCCACTTCCCTCAGCTGGGGACACGCACGTGGCCAAGATCAGAGGCTGAACCTGTTCTGCAGGCGCAGAGCTGCGCAGCTGCCTTACCTCCGGATCTGTTTCAGGATGTAGTCCCTCGAGATGTATTTGATGTTTTCATCCACAACTGAGCGAACACCTTCTTCTTCTGTCAGCTGTTTTTCCAGCCACTCCACCAGGTCCTTGTTGCTGTCCCACAAATACGCCTGCGAACAGACCACAAGTGTCACTTGGAGGGTCCCAATGCTGCACCCGTTCCCCACGTACTGACCCCAAAACTGAACTCGCTGTTCTTGGCAGCTGTGGGTAAAGCAGGCGGCTGGCAGCGCCCCGGGGCTTCCCTGCGCCCGTGGCTGTTTTATAAACACAACTAACAACTGGCAGAAGTCAAAAGCTGAGGCATTTCCTTTGCATCTCCTTCCATAAAGGTGACTACAGGGGAACCACGGCGGAATGGGCTAGGGGGATCACAGGTGCACC